GGTTTCAGTTTTTTACTTTTAGGCAGGCTCTCACTCTGTAGATCAGGCTGACCTGGAACTCACAGAGACCCACCTGCCTCTGCCTCCTGAGTGTGCTGGGAATAAAGGCATCTGCCACTATGCTTGGATGCACACATGCATTTTCTTAAGTTAAAAATAACAAAACTATTTTTTAAAAAAGAATCATTTAGAGAATGGTGGAGGAGGCCGTCCAACACCCTCCTCTGCCTTCAGCGCACACATACAATACGTGTACTGGCGTGCATGTGTGCACATTCAGTGCTCATACAACACACAAATAAGTAAACAGACAAACAAATGTGCTTGGTAAAGGCCTGATCACAGTGACACATCTGGTTATTCCAGAATTCAGATGGCCAAATGGTTCCACAAGTTCAAGGCCAGCCGTGTCTACATAGTTCCAGGCCAGCCAATGTTATATAATGAGATCCTGTCTCAAAAGGAAAAACAATGCTTCAGGAGACAAGGGGACCATGTGTTTGAGAATTCTATGACAAACCAACAAAATAATAAACAAACAAATAAATATACTTTGTTTATACATTTCTCCCATGTTGGGAATTAAACAGGAACCTTGTACACGCTAGGCCAGAAATCTATCTGCCTTGATTTTCCTCCTCTCCTGCCCCCTTCCTCACCCCTCCTCTCTGAGACAAGCTCTTCCTTCTGCCTCCCCAGTGCTGGGATTAAGTCACCATTATGCCCAGCTTCCTTCTAATTCTTCTTTCTCCTTCCAGAGCTAGGGATGCAGCCAGCACCTTGCGAGGCAAATGCTATCCACTGAGCCATCCCCAGCCCTGTGCCCCCAGACTCCTCTCTGGAAACAAGTCACTAATGCAGCTCTGGGAGAGCATGGGGGCAGGGTACATACAATCTCTGAAGTTCTTTTGAGAGAAAAGCAAGTTTATTCTCTCGGGATCGTTTGTGTATTCGGTCATTTTTATCAGTTTGGAGTTACAGATCATTTTTTTTTTCTGGTTATATATTTGTGTGTACATGTTCATGTGTGTGAAGGTCATGCTCCATCCTCTTTTTATTTTTTTTGAAGTGGTATGTCCAAGTCTAGGGACCCTCCTGTCCCCCCTCCCCTGCCTGCACTGGGTTACAGGCCTGGCACTCTTCCTCACTCAGCTTCTTGTGTGGGTGCTGGGCATCCACACTCAGGTCCTCATGCTGCAGTCACTGTACTCACTGAGCCATCTTCCCAGCCCTTGTTTGTTGTTCTTGCCATACAGCCTAGACGGGTCTCAAACTCACGATCCTTCGCCTTAGCCTGTGTGCTGGGATTGCAGGCGGCACCCCAGTGCCCAACTCTTGAATCTCTATAACTGAGTAAGTTTGCCACTGCTGGACCAGCTCCAGACACCAGGAGCCCTTTGCTGTCCTGCTCTGTCCCCTTGACACACCATCCTTGGGCTAATTTATTTGTTTTGGCATTTCCTTTTTTTCCTGGCTGCCAGGCTATTCTGGGCTGTGTCTGTCCTGTCCCAACCTTACAGCTGGCCATTTTTCAAAGAGCCTGGTTCCTGTCATTGGACATAGAGTACAGAACCAAGACCTGGGTCTGAATGTCACTTTGGTCCTCACAGCTGACAGAACTAGAAAACATGTGTGCCTGCTTACTATGAGCACACACACATCCCGCCATCATGTCTTTACATTTACATAGGTCATGGAATTGTTTTCTCTGTACAGATTTTCTTTCCTCAATCTCGATTTTCTTTGTCCCACAACTCTTTGAGGTCCAGACTATTAATTTTAATAATTTTAACTTATTAAATAATTTCAACTTATTTTCTTATATGTTGAGTCAGGGTCTTGCTATGCTGTCCCTCCTGTTCTGGGGTGACACATGTGTGCCACCACCGTCAGCTGGGTCTCCATCCCTTTTAGAGAGATGGAGACTGAGGCGCTGGAGCTGTAAGCAAGCAATCTGCAGAGATGACATAGCTCTGGCAGGAAGGTCTGTTCTCCAAGGCCTCTCCAGCACCTGAGTTGATTCTTTGTGTCTGATGACTGAGAAATCCCATTTTCCCTTCAGGAGGGTGACTGGCCACCATGGATCTGGTCATGATGATGACAACATCGTTCCAGGTGTCTGAACAGTAGGGGACCCCCATTTATAGCTCAGGGAGGTGAGTAACTTTTGGGATAGCTGGTGTGGTGTCATGATTGTAGGCAGAATAGTGTGTGGCTTGGGGGAGCCCAGGCCCCTAGAGCAGACGTAGTGCTGAACCTCAGGAAAGAACTCGAACAAGGCTAGCCAGAAAGAGTCCATGTGGGTTCAGGTCAGTAGGGTAGATCTGAAGCTATGTCTTTAAACAATAAAAAACAAAACAAACAGAGAGTGACCTTTACATCGATGCCCAGGAGGGCAGTAAACTGGAAAAGGCCAAAAGGCTAAACATGATGGGTAAAAGAAACACCCTTTGGCCCTGAAACCAGAGTCAAATCTGCCCCTGCCCCTGCCCTGAGGGGAAAACCAACCAATCCCTGAGCACAAGATCTTGCTGATCTGAGCTCATGGGCTGAAATCTGACCAATCCGCACCCTGAAATTTTTTTCCCTAAGAGTCCCTATATAAGCCCTGTGCCTGTTTATTTGGTGGCTGTCTGGGTTGTCCTCTGCCACCCTGGCAGAGGGCAGCCACCCTCCTGGGTTCTTCCCTCCCAATAAATCTCTTAAACGAGGTTTGCTTGAGACCTCCCTTCACCTGAGGAGAGAGGGGGACCAGTGTCAAACTGTAAACTCTGGGGAAACCCTCTCCTGCCAGAGCAGAGCTGGTACACTGGGGAAGTCTTTCCCTGAAGCGGGCTGTAAGCTGCTATTCTTATTACTGTGACTATGGTATTCCTTGGCTCCCGAGTGCCAGAATACCTTTCCATCCGAGACACTCCCTTTACCCCATTCACCCCCCACCTCCTGGTCTGAAGCAGCCCAGACTCCTGCCTCCATCTCTCTGCTTCTCTGCATGTTTATTTCCCCTAAAAGCCCAGCAGCAGGAGTAGCCCTGATGGACACTTGGGCCAAATCACTGCCTCCCTCCGTGCCCAGATGGGCAGATAGCTGAGCTCAGGGCTTGACTATCCAGCCTGGATAAGTGTGAACTCTGTGTTAACTTTGGTATGCAAGGGATTTGTGGGATCCTGGGGGCGGTCCCAGGGATAAATCTTCTGCTGTTCCAGGAACACGTGCAAGCCAGGTATAGTGCCCCATACATGGAATCCCAGTGCTCCAAAGCCTGGCGCAGAAGGACCAAAACTTTGAGGCCAGGCATACACAGTGAGTCTCCTTTCAAAACAAATCCAGGCTTCCAAGTCTGGGGGGGGGCTGGGCCCCCCCCCCCATAGCTCTGCTTGTATCTCCCATGAGAGTCTAGCCATGGGCAGTTAGCCAAGAAAGGGAATCAACGGTTTAGTTTTGGAGAACTCTAGAGCCCGGCCCTAAGAGCACACACAACCCCAGAGAAAGAAAGACCAGCTGGGTGTCTGTTTGCCCTGCTCCCCGCTGTGTAGTAAGAAAAGGGGCTGAATTTATCTACTCCCTTCTTTGTTTCTGGAAGCAAAAAGCAGCTCATAAAACTCAGAAGCCTGAAGACCTGTAAAGGGAAGAGGAGTCATTCTCGGGAAACTCAGCAAGAGGAAGAGGGGAAAAAAAAAAAAAAAAAAGGCCAGCTGTGGCTAGTCGAATGTAAAGGCCTAGAATATCGCGGTACAGTCCCTAGTGGCTGAACCGGTAGGAGATCAGACCAGGCCCTGGTCCGCTCTGGGAAGAGGAAGATGATCCAGTGTTCAAGGAATACCCCTGGCTGCTGACACCTACTTCCTGTGGGAGGGTCTGCCTCCTCCCCCTTCACAGGCTAGTTTCTCCTGCCCTTTCTTCCAATGTTCCGGGTCGAGGATATACACTGTCAAGGACTTTAGAGCCCTAGAGCTAAGTAGTTCTAGAGCCTTCCCGCCTAAGGAGGAGGCATTTTTGCTTTTATTTATTTTTTTTAAATTCATTTCATTATGCTGACAACCGGCTAGTCTTGAAGTTTTTGTTGAACAGATGAATAAATGAGCGCCTTGGTGTCGTGTCTGCATTCCACAGTACCTGGGTGTAGGGCAGAGGCCTGGGATTCCTCCCAATGTGTGGAGATGGCAGAGCAGACGCAGGCTGGGCAAACCCAGGATTTCCAAACGGTCAGAGGAGCTTCAGCGCTTGCCCGAGGAGGATCTGGGCCCTGCCAGTCTGGATGGCATGGCACTCCCTGTGAGGGGCTCTGTGCAGTGACCCGTGGGTCTGTTTCTTCACCTCCAACCTGTTGACGCTGTGGCTAGGGGCTGAGCTATGGGCAGAGATTCTTATGAGGCTCTCCCTTGTCTCCACCTCCGCTCCAGGCTGGCCTTTGAAACACTGTTCTTCCGGTCATTTGCCCTTGTGGGTGTAATGAGGGTGGTAGGGTCTCAGAGGAGATTGCGGGGTCGGGCCAGGGTCCCACTGCCCCCTCACCTTGAGACACCTCTCTCCAGCCTCAGTTTCCTTCTTCCTAAACCAAAAATACCAGGTTGAGGCGTCTGGTTCAAAGATGACGCAGGGGAAAAGCTCAGAAAAGAAGCTGGCGCTTAGGGTCTCAGGAACTAGGAGGAAGCCTTGAAGCCATCACCTTTGGTGCACGCGAGGACACAGACCTAGGCGCAATGCGACGCCCAAGGTCACTCAGCCCGAGGCCGGGTCTGTCCCCAAGTGTCCTGATTCCAGGGCCTGGGCTTGGCCAATAGCCAGGTTGCAGCCAGCTGGTGTTGGAGGAACGGGAAGGTGGCGCCCAGGGCTTCTGTTTTGGAACGGCGGAGGGGAGCACGCTGCCACCTGGGGGACCAGGCGCTAACGAGACGGCCGCCCGGCAGGCACTAAGCCGTGACCCTCCCCGGGAGGGGCGGGGCGGGGCGGGCGGGCGGTTACCTCATCGCCGCCTCCGGGAGGCCCTGCTCGCTCGCTCGCGCGGCCGGCTGGGGCGGCGGCTCCCGGCGCCGGAGCGAAGAGAGGGCCGGGCTGCGGGCGGGGGCGGGTCTGCGCCGCGCCAGGTGCGCTCTCCCTGCCGAGCTGCGGGTTCGGCCGCCGCCGCCCGCCGGTTCGGTCGGTGCTCGGGCCTGGCCTCTTGCTGCCCAGGTGCTGCAGGCGGCGCGACGCGGGTGTCCCGGTCCGGGCGCGCGCGGCGCGGTGTCGGCTCATGAAGCTCCCCGGCACCCGGCGCGGGGGCGCGGGCCAGCCATGGGCGGCAGCCTGCGTGTGGCTGTTCTGGGTGCTCCGGGAGTGGGCAAGACTGCCATCATCCGCCAGTTCCTGTTCGGTGACTATCCCGAGCGCCACCGACCCACAGACGGTCCCCGTCTCTACCGGCCCGCCGTGCTGCTCGACGGCGCTGTCTACGACCTGAGTATCCGTGATGGTGACGTCGCTGGCCCCGGCTCGAGCCCCAGAAGTCTCGAGGTAGCGGTTTGAAGGTGGCCAGGAGAGGGAAGGGGGGAGAGAAGAGAGAAGAGTGTGTGAGAGAGAGATGCTTGGTGCCCACGTGCGTGTCCACGTGGACTGACCCAGGGCGCCCAAGCATGTTCGGGGATTGAAGGGAGTGTCTTGGGTGAACTGCATGAGAGCCTCCTGCGCTAGCCTAGAGGCAGCCGGTGAGTGCTTGTGTCTTTCTTGCCTGACTAGGCTGGTGTCTGGATCTGCGTGTGAAACAGCACCTCCTGGGTATCACAGGCCAGACACAGGAGTATCCTTTCTAGAGGGGGGGGGCACTGCTCCCTCATTCCTGTGCCCTGGATCAAAAACTCAAGGATCTGTGCAAAGTCCCAGACAGACTTCTAGTCTTTGGCGCTGGATGCCTTTGAGGGCTTCTCAGAGGAGCTGGCATTCGAGTGTAAAGGGAGCTGTGAGAATATTACAAGAGAGCAGCAGGTGCTTAGGCCAGAGGCTTCACCGGGACAGTCACAGTCAGTCACCATCTGCTGGCTGGTGAAAGGTGAATTTCAGGCAATTACAGGCAGCAGTAATAGTGTAGGGAAGGAGGGTAGTAGTCTGAAGGGAGGCCCAGGATGTAGCAGAGTTAGTAATAGACTGACAAGATCCAAGCACGACTGGGAAATCTGGCCCGAGGGAGGATGCCTACAGTTTTGGGAGGTGATGGGGTCTGAGGATAAACCATGGTGTTTTGGAGTAGGAGGGTCAGCTGTAAACCTCAGTCTCTACTCCCAGGAGTGGCCAGACCCTAAAGACTGGAGCTTGCAGGACACAGACGCCTTTGTGCTGGTCTACGACATCTGCAGCCCCGACAGTTTCGATTATGTGAAAGCCCTGAGGCAGCGCATAGCAGAAAACAGGTGAGGGAGGGCTTGGCTGGAGGTGGTCTGCTTAGGGGAGCGGGTAGTGCTGGTCTGGGTGCCCACGAGGTCTCCGGGTGTATGAGGTCTTTGGCATACTCGGGGATCTCTGGCAGGAGGGAACCAACCGCATTTGTACACATGGGGAGGGCTCTTCTGGCCTTGGAGTCTCCAGCACTGCGTCTCTCATATCCATCCGGCCTCCAGGCCGGCGGGCGCGCCAGAGGCACCCATCCTTGTGGTAGGCAACAAGCGGGATCGTCAGCGGCTGCGCTTCGGACCTCGTCGTGCACTGGCCACTCTAGTGCGCAGGGGCTGGCGCTGCGGCTATCTCGAGTGCTCAGCCAAATACAACTGGCACGTGCTGCGTCTCTTCAGAGAGCTTCTGCATTGTGCCCTGGTGCGCACACGTCCTGCGCATCCGGCCCTGCGCCTGCAGGGGGCGCTGCATCCAGCACGCTGCAGCCTCATGTGACCGACCAGAAAGGAGAGGAAAATCTCATAAAAGCAGGTTCCCACCCATCTTCTGGCTTTTCTTTGAACCCGACTGGACCCAGACAACTCCCAATCATTGGACAAGATCAGTTTTATCTGAGACCTTATTGGTCTCACAATCACAAATGGGAAGGACTTGAATATGAACATGATTGGAAGCATTCATACAGCTTTACTGGAAATACCTTTTCTTTTTGGCGTTTTGAGGCAGGGTCTTACTATGTAGGTTCGGCTGGCTTCGAACTACAAAAACCCACCTGCTGTGCCTCTCCAGTGTTGGACTGGCTATTGGAGACATTTTTTAAGTCATAACTTACCAGGTAATAAAAAACTTAAAATGCAGAATGTAAGGGTTTCTTGTTCTGGAATAGGCAGGTCAGAGCGTTGAGGCTTGCCTTCCAGGCAATTAACTCTAGAATCCCAACATATAATGAAGGTTCAGTCCCCCAAAACAGGAGCTGAAGCAAAACTTTACTGTCAGAGGTTGTTTACTGGACCACAGGTCCTCAGGACACCAGGCTGGCCCGGTCTCCTCTAAGGCATTCAATAATATTAGTAATTAAATAGCAACACTCATCCCCGAAACCGGAATGTACAACAGGTGTTCCATTGTGTCAGGTGGTCCCTTAGGGTCTGGTCCCATGAGGTCTGGTGCTCAAGAGGTGGAGGGGGAGGGGTCCCTGAACGCAGAGGGTAGGTTAAGGCCACAAAGAAAATGAAATGGGGTGTGGTGCAGCTGAGCCAGTCTATCACATTCGAGAATCTGGTTGGGTCTTTGGGGTGGACTGCAGGGTATGCCAAGCCCCGAGCTCCATGGGTCCTGATGGGCGGCGGGGTCCCCGAGGTGTGGGGATGCGTGAGGGTTTACGGTCTGGCTGTGTGTCCATCCGGCCCCTTGCCAAGATCAGCGAGGGTTCTGGGCCAGTCAGAGAGCTCCTAGCTGCATCCAGTGCCCCCCCTATAGCAAGGCAGGGGCTGCCTTCATCAGAAGAGCTGGAAAGAGCTTGGCTGCGGGGTGCGGGCAGCCCATTGGCTGTGCGGCCTGATTCCCCAGGTTGGCCACACTTGCCACCCAGGACACTGAGTGATGAAGATGAGGAGCTAGAAGAACAGTAAGCCGAGTCCGGTGCCGGGGGGTCAGGGACGGGTCCCATAGGGGTATGGCAGGCAGCAGCTTCCCAGGCTCGGGTATTAGACAAGAATTCCTCTTCCAGTCGCTGCAACAGCTGCTGCTCCTGCTGTGGGTCAAGCTCCAGTGGTGTGCGGAAAGCGCTGGCAGGTGTGGCAGCCAGCTCTAAGCTTGGGCTGGGGCCCCGGGAAGGACGCGGCGCCGCAGGGCTGCGGGCACGTGGAGTCTGTGGGGTGCTCCTTCCGGAACCCCCCGATCCTCCGCCCCCCCTGGCCCGGGCTACACACGAGTGCTGCCCTTCTCGGTCCCTGCGCACCATCAGGACAGCCTGTTCCTCGCGGCTCTGGCTGCGGGCGCGACGCACGGGGCTGGAAGCCGACAGCTGAGCGCCTCGGCCTCCCGGGGCCATGCGGGGCCGTCCCCGGTCTAGCCGGTCTCGAGACTGGCTGCGAGGGGTGGGCGGCCGTCTGGGGGAGGCCGGGAGACCGGAGGTCAGCCGGTGGCTGGGCCGCTCCCTCCGGGAGCCAGTGGCCGCGTCGTCGCTGCGGGTACCCAGGGGGCCGCTCTGGGCTGAGGAGGCTGAGGAGTCACTGTCCCCGGAGTAGCGACGGGAGCGGGGGAGGGGGGGCAGCTGATCTCGGGGCCTGAGGTTGGGAGCGAGAGAGATGTGCATCACTGGCGCAGGTGGAGCGAGCTAGGGAGGCTTGGGCTTTGCCAGGGGACTTCCAGGGACAAGTGAGCATCCTGGCTGAGGCCACGACTCATAGCCCCAGACTTCCGAAGCCTGGGTTGGACCAGCCACCGCCTGGAGCCCGCCCCAGCAGTGTTGTTGGTTTGTCTGGGTTACCATGGAGATGGAAAGCCAGTCCCGCCCCCAAGCACGGGAACTTTTCCCAGGGTGTGAGTCACCGCGCCCAAGCAGACGCCCCTCCCCCACCAGCCCTGGTGGATCCACTGATCCCACAGCTTCTCACCTGAGCGGGGCCTCAGGCCCCTCTTTTGTGCTTCGCAGGCTGATGGGGGTTACTTCTGGCCGGGAGCCCCGGCGCTCACTTCCAGGGACTGGGCTACCGGGGCGGGGGCTAGGAGTGGGTGATCCCCTCTGCGGGGAGAAAGTCCCAGCCCTCTGCGAGGGCAGACGGTGGGCTGTGGGGAAGGATGCCGCAAGTGAGGGGCAGGGCCTCAGAGACCAGCCCCTCCCAGCTGGGCCAGTACTCCCTCCAGACATTTACCATTTGAGGAGCAGCGGCAAGGATCATGCTTATCTAGGTAGTGCTCCAGTGTATCCCAACCGCCACCCACGCGCACCATCACGTGGCTCCTTAGCACCTGCAGGTCAGAGGGCAAGTCACTGTGGGCCTCCTAGATAATCCCAGAGTGGGTGGATTCGGCCTTTGCTCCCTCACTTACCCTTACAAAGATGAGCAAGCTGGAGTCTCCCACTCGGTACTTCCCCTCAGAGACCTTGATCATGGGGAACTGGTCTGGGCAGGTGCAATGGCCCAGGATCTCTCTCACCTGAAGCCAGAGAAGAGATTCTAAAGGCCAAGGGTTAAGTCCCTCCTGGGTTTAACAGCAGCAGCTACAAGGCAGGAGGAAGTGCCTACTCCCTCCCACACAGGACCTTTGACCAGCTCACTGTATGGGCTCTGAGAACTCCTGAGAGTTCTGGAAGCCAACCAGAATGAGTGGAGAGGGCTGTGGCTGTCCAGGGATTACTGTGACAGACCAGAGACTGTCCCCTGGAAGAAACACCCTGAAAAAAAAAAAAAGCCTTAAGCCCATGAGAGGCCTGGAGCCATCCACATCCAGGGCAGGATGTGTGCAGGAGGCCCATGCTCCCATCTGAGCATCTCAACCAGAGGGTACCGCGTGGGACACACAAGGGCAACAGGCACAAAGGCCTGGCAAGCACACAGCTGCACACATGTTAAGGGAGGCAATGGATGGCAGACTGGTTATGTGGGAAGCCTACCCACAGCAGTACCAGAAGCAATGAGCAGGTGGGGCCTTGGGTGGCCCAGGCCCAGGCTGGGGGTGAGTGTGGACGGGGTGTCCACTCTGCCCACAGCCATCCAGCACCTGACTCTTAGGCAGGCACACCATAGTCCTAAACTCCTGATAAGAAAGAAACTTAGTCCAGCTGCGGGGGTGGCAGGGACAAGCAGGTCTTGGGGAGAGGGAGCTGGAAGCCTGCACCTCCTAAGCTCCCAAAAGCACTTCCTGTTCCCAACAGCAGCCAAAATGGGACTGGGCTTTCCATCAGGGCACCAGACCTGAGCTCCCCCCAGACACTCACTATGCACACTTAGCCTAGACCAGGGCAGCAGACAGTCTGAGGGCTGAAGTTGCCAATGTATCTGTCTAGCACCTGCATGCCAAAAGGTGCCTAAGTCACATAGTCTTCCAAATGAAGCAATGCACTGAACTGTGTTGCTGCTCATTTAATACAAAAACAAAAAAGCTGGTGGCAGAAGCTGGAGGGTTGTATGCCGCAGGCCCACGTGTACTGTGTGGCCCACTTAGTACCTCTGCCTCTCCGGGCTTATCCATTCCTTTGTGGCCAGGTATATATACCCTTGGCGGTCAATGTATGTACCACCCTTCCTGTGAGGGCAGGCTGCAGAGGATGGGTCCCATGAGGCTCTGGGATGGGGTTGGCATTAACTCTGCCATCTGGTCCCCAGGTGGGGAGAGTGGGCAAGGGTCATCCAGTGTGTACATCAGAACACTCACCAGCTCATCGAGGTTTCGAAGGTCATTGGGTGTCATTCGGGGTGTTCGGGTGGGAGCCCCGGATGCCGTGACAATTTCAGTGGCATCCTCTTCAGCAGCAGGGACACTGGACACCTGAGGGGTGGCTCGAAGCTCCTGCTCAATTTCCTGCTCAAACTGTACCAGCCTCGGGGCAAGCAGGCCGAGGCGCGCCCCGCGCCGGGCCACCTCTAACAGGCACAATACCACGCTCTTCTCATTCTTGCGCAGTACCAGGTCCTCTGTCTCAAACATGAGCACTTCAGGCACACCCAGCTCGGCTCGGCACCAGCCGATGAAAGTGGCTACGTTGTCTCGGGCCAGGAAGGAGCCAGGCGCCACACTGTGTGCCTGGAAAGCCACACCTCGGGTTGGGCGGGCAGCAGCCTGAGCCCGGGCAGCCTCAGTGACAGCGTTGGCATGTTGGCACAGGGCTGTGCCTGTGGCCAGCCCTGTGAGGAAGCCATCACCACTGCCGGGTAGACCTAGACTGTACAAGGCATTAAGCCAATCGGCCAGGTCTTCCTTCATGGCTTCTACGTAGGCCTCACTGGATCGGAATGGCCGCACACTCTTGGCCGCAGAGCCCGCGATGCCCGCCACTGGGTCCGCCATGCCCAGGGCCAATCGAGTCACTGTAGGCAGGGGACACAGGTCAAGATTGCTGTGGAGACCCGCACGGGCTCAGAATGGCCTACCTCTACCAGCTTGCCACTCAGAGCAAACGCGGTAACTCATTGTCCTCGGTGTCAAGTGGATACGGTGCCACGACCTGCTTCAAACGGCTCAATAAGACTCAGTGTTCATGCTTGTTGTCTGGCTCGTGAGGGGTGTGTGGCTGGGGGCCGGTTGGCACCAGTGGGATAGAAATGCCACTTAGAGACATGAAGACACGGGCAGGAGGGGAGCCTCGCCCGGGGCCACAGAGGGACAGTTTCCACTGCTCAGCCCACAGCCCTCACCAAGTCCCCGCCTTTCCCTCACCCTTCCGCTAAGGGCCGCCCCACCGGCTGCGCGGAGATGGTATCTCCATTCTACAGACGAGGAAACTGAGGCGCAGAAAGGGCAGTCGCTCGCAGAGCAGTGGGTGGAGGAATCGGGTCGCCTAGGCAGGACCCACCTTCTGGGAGAAGCGGCCCCCGGCCAGTGCCTGCACGGCCGGGACTCCGAATGGCTCCGCAGTGCTCGCGGCCTGGTCCAGAGAGGGTGCGTGGCCGGTCAAGGTCACACAGCCCCGGGAAAAGGAGCCCCGCGCTGCCCGACCCACCTCCGGACACCCTGGACAGGGGTCCTCGGAGTCCCCGCGCTCACCTGGCTCACCCCGCCACCCCGGGCAGCATTGCCCCGGCGGGGCCGGAGCCGGGCCGCGCCGCCGCACACAGGCGCCGCCCGAGCTCGCTGCATCCCGGCGCCGGCTCCGCCCCGCCCCTCTGGAATTCGGATCCGGCCAGGAA